AACGGAAGTACATGGATGGGTTTGCCTCCCAACTCATTATGCAACAGCAGTTGCTTAAATGAACCTCTTTATGAACCAAAAGATTAAGAACTGAGACACGTGCTAAAGGTAAATGGGGAAAAGGAACTGTTCCTCAACACATTAAAATGCTATTCGTGCCACTACTGAGGAGGAAAATACATGTGGTTAGCAGAACCAGAAGCTGCAGGCCTCCATTGCCCAACCCCACTGCTGTAGATCTGTAAGGTTACTTACGCTTTCATTGGAAACGACTCATATTTACGTAAAGCAGTTAGTCAACACCAGCATGCTCCCCTCCCACTGAGTAAACACTAAAGCAGGGGGGCTCTCATGAAACAGTTACAGATCTCCACTACAGACATGATTAATCCATTTTGTGAGCAAGGCATCTGGAGTCTTAATGCCCATTCCTATTCTCTTCATGCACATCAATACATATTAATAGAAAGTTCACTGCTTCTCCCCTCTGACATTTAGTTCAATAGTTATAAATATATGTGCATCATTTTTATTTCCTGTGTTTTATGTGACAGGATCAAGACCCCCCCCCTTCTTATCATAACCTGGTTTTGGAAAAAAAAAAACTGCCTGTGGGGAAAAGACAATGTGTAATCTGACAAGTGTCTGCTAATGCACAGCATGATTATAGTAGTTGCTGAACAGGGTGATGAGAAAACTAATTTAGGCCAGTGTGCATACTCAAAAGGTTAACTGGCACATTTTTCAGAACTTACCATTTTGGAAAACAGGATGTACAATCCTACGTTGGCAGGGCTGGGTGAGAGCTCTAATAACTTAATTTGCATCATCAACTCTGTCATTTGTGTTGTGTTAATGATGTTTAACCTACAGCCGTGAACAGACAAGCAGCAGGCACAGAGCGTTACTGCACAGTGGATTCACCCTGGAGCCAAATCACACTTGAGCAGATTCATTTGACAGACTGATGCATCTTCAGCATTTTTTGTAAAAAAAAAAGGAGCATTAATTGGATTGAGCAGTTAAAACCTGTGTTTGGCTTACCAAGGTCATCATTCCTAGAAGATTGACAGGAAAAATACCTTTTAGGGGTCTTAAGCCACAAAAAAAAAAAGCTATGTACCAACTGAAGTTCTCCCCCCTCCTTCACTTCAGCATTGCTGAAACCTTCAAAGTGAAAGGCTGTTTTCAAAGGTAGTGTGGTATAGGCGACTGTAAGAGTGCAGTGATTGCAGAGTGTCCTGTGCGATGCCTCAGAGGCTGGGGCTAAATCAATCAATTCCCATCTTCTGTCAAATGTCATTGTACAGAGCTCATCCAAAGAGTATAGAACCACAGGACCACCTCTTGCTTATAACTGCTATACTGCTAAATGAAAATCGTAAATCATGAAGAAGTGATGGTAACCTTTAGGAGGCAGGATTTACTTGTTCCATTAAGTGCACCTCTTGACTTAATGTATTTTAAGGAGCATGTAACAGGGTCTTTGTGCTGGAACTGAAGGAGCTGTAGAGAGCACTACAGTCTACGAGCCACGAAAAGGAAGCTAATCTTTATTCTGCGATTTGGTACCTCAAATCAGTCCCGGCAGCCTTTAGATTGTTATATGTGAAAAAGAAACACAGGGCCTTGCCAGTGGCAAACGTTCCTGCATACAGTGTTATTCTTTACCAGCAGTGGTTATCATGCAAATTTTATGTAGGGGTTCACTCACGCATAGGGAAGTAATTGCAACAGGAAATTAAGAAAAAGTAACCTTTGAAAAGCCACAGCCAGCGCATCAGAATTCTTGCCACACACGCCAACCAGAGTAGAAACAAGCAAGAGAAGGACCTGACAGGTTAAACTGTTGATGACAATACACATATGGAAAATCTTAAGATCTGAATACCTGCCAGAACACACCCTGGAAGCGAGGCATGAAAACCACATTACTTGTTGCCAAGTGTTATCAAGATGGCAAACATGGAACGGTGTTGGGGTGGTAGTCTGCTCTGACAGCCTTACCCTTCTTGGGTCTTGGCATTATCCCATCTTAGGGCATGGTCTTCCTTTCATTCTTAAACCTATATGAATATCAGCCATGTGTTCGTTTCCTCCGAGCTCCCGGGGGGGGTGTCTCACCTGCCTTACATGTGCACCCTGTGGGGACTTGTCTTCCTGGCCAGGGTGGAGGTCTGCCCACTACAGGCTCAGGTTGCAGTGACCCTCTCCAGCAGTAAATACTATTCTCAAACTGGATGGATGTTTAATGTGATCTGTCGCAGCAGTTTAGTTTCGGCTTTAGATTACCTATTATGTTAAAGCATTGTTACATTAATGAAAAAAGTGACTGGCTGTATTGTCCTATATTTTTTAACTGAAGTAAAAAAAACTCAAAAGGAAATATATCTTTCCTGGGTCAGTGTACCAGCAGTTCCATGGTTGTCACCCAACTCAAATGGGACCATGGCATAGTTTATTAACAGCAGTTAAAATCCAAATTATGCACAACTTCAGTAAGAATAAAAAAAACCCTGAAAAACTAGCATGAGAAAAACAGCTTTAGATTCAAGCACATTTGTTAAAACAACCCATGTTGGATATACAGTGGTGTGAAAAAGTGTTTGCCCCTTTCCTGATTTATTTTTTTGCATGTTTGTCACACTGAAATGTTTCAGATCAAACAAATTGAAATATTAGACAAAGATAACACAAGTAACACAAGGTTTTTATTAAGGGAAAAAAAATCCAAACCTACATGGCCCTGTGTGAAAAAGTGATTGCCCCCCAAAGTTATTTGTCTAATATTTCAATTTGTTTGATCTGAATCATTCAGTGTGACAAACATGCAAAAAAATAAGAAATCAGGAAGGGGGCAAACACTTTTTCACACCACTGTAGATGAATAACATTCAATTTAAATAAGCCAACAGATAAAATGATTACCATAATAATAGCTAAGTTGTTTTCACCTAGTCCATTATTTCTACAATCAGCATGCCTACTCAGAGGACTAAAAAGGAATAATTTTTATGTTCCACTGAAAGATTTTACAACAGAAATCAGAAAAAGCAGGCAGACAACCACACAAGCTCTGGGATATGCCTGACAATTAGAAACACCCTATTAATTCCCAGTCTCATTGCTATGTGACAAAACAGCCCAATTGTTCCATATATTTTTCATTGCCTAGATTAAATACGAAGGAGGTGAGCATTCAATACTGCAAACAAGGACAAATTAGGTTTACTTCATGCTCATCCCATATCATGACTCCTACACCTGTCTTGGATTTATACTCACCATTTACAATGTGTCAATCAGAGTCTGGATGAAGTACTGCCTGTCAGCAAGGTGGTCTTAAGGGAACCTGCATTTCCTAAGGCCATATTCAAATTTACTTGCCCTGGCATAGCAGTGATTGTGGGTGGGCTCTTCAATAGTCAGCTGCATCTTGGAGATGGTCTCAAACCTCACTCCTTGACACCATGGCTACCTGTTGAAACCTTAAATACCCTAATTTACCTCTGTTGCCAATAGGTTTAGAAAACAGTTCTGGGACACCTGAAATGATGCACTAAGATTTGTGGTTTGGAATCACTCCCCCTGTACAAGAATGTTTTTTAAAATAAAGTTAAGCAAACCGTTCACTTAATTAAAACGTGGTATTCAAACAGTGGGATTGGGAAACTAAGGCTTCAAATAGTTGAGCTACCCGTGCTGAGAGGTAGAATAAGCGCAGACTAGTTTTACTTCAGCGGCCATGGGGGGTTTTCAGTAGAGCAGAAATCCACCGAAATCAGAAATTTAGCAAGCAAATGCAATTCAGACCCATTTTGTTCTGAAACATTAGGACTGGGTAATTACATCTATTTTTGTGCTTATATTTAAACTTCACAGTTATAAACAAAAACACCAGGAAAATCTGAGTGTTTCAAAAATCTAAACTCCTTGAAAAAGAAGCCCTATTCAGAATCACGTCAATTCTTTGAAATTAAAATACAACTCAATGCCCCTGGGGAAATGATTTGCAAGCTCTCTACAGTTGGGTACAGTTAGCTGGGAAGAACCTGCAAACTCAGTTAAACCTACCATTTACATGACTATCTGGAAGAGAGAAAAAAAAGTGTTCTGTACATACTATAATAGGAAGAGATTTGGATTAGTCAGAACGGGTGTCCCAAAGTGCTGTATAGGGTTCGAGCATGCAATCTCAAACCACTCCATCTGCTCTAACCACAGTAGAAAAGGACTGCTGGGTGTAGTGTAAAAAAAAAAAATGAACAGCTACCTCTAACTGTCTTTTAAATCAGTGAAGCATAAAAGGCAGAAAAAAAAAGAGCCTCCTATTCCACAAGGGTACCCTAGTCAAGCATTTATTAAGGACTGGGAGCAGCAAGCCGTTTCAAAACGGCATGACTCATCCTGCACACCTGACAGTTGACTTCAAGGAGGTGAGCAGCTTATGCACCATTCAGAAATTCACCCCGAGCAGAGGGGTGAAGAAGCTGGGCAGGCAATGTCGGAGCACCTGCTCACAGCTCTCAAGCTGGGATATGACGACTTCTCCACACTCAAGCTGGACACAGGGGGTCTTAAGGGACTCGCAGGCTTAAGTCTTTTCAGCAAATTCCCCAGACTGTCCAATATGGTCCAGGAATTCTATTCCTGACAGTGGTTGGCACAATATGAAAGCTGAAAGATACAAACAAGGACAGAACTATCTACTTCCCTGCTCCAAGTGCCTTGTGCACCAGAGGGAGAGACTAGATAGAAGCAGAACTATAGGAAAAGACTTACACAGAAGTGTAAGGGGGGGGAGGAATCAGAAAAGGCATATCACCAATCTTCACACCCCACATGCTTGCTTATTAACCAAGACTCTTGGAATACCTGATGAAAGAAGCTCCACTGGAAGTATGAACTGCACCCAACAAAACAAGTGGCAAGCAACAGTATTCAATGCATTCTGGACCAAGAGCCTTGTAGTGGTTAGTCACCAAAGAAACCAAAAAAAGTCAGCTTTGTATAAACAGTTTTATTATCTCTAGACACGAACAAAACACCATATAAACACGAAGTCTGATGCAGAAGTAAGCTAGTCTGCCTTTGATTCAATGAGGCCATTTCTTTTTTGCAGCACAACATACTCAAGTTGCCAAGGCAGCAAAATGCTATTATATATTACAACATGCTGAATACAAGGCCTGCATCAGATGGAAAGTAATCTATAGACACTAGTGTATTCATAGAAAGTATAAAAGTTATAATTTTACAGCAGTTGAAATACTGACATATTAAAATAAAAGCAAGTTTTACATCATTAAAACCATGGAAAATACAAAGACTGAAGGAATAGACCCTGTGTGAAAGAAATTAAGCCAAATTGAGCCAAAAACAAGAAAAAAAGGGACAGTCGTACCCCCAGATTGTGCTGTTGCACTTGCGCCTATAGAGAACTAAAAAAAAAAAATACAGTAAGCTACCCTCACCCTCCCAACAGCATTTTGCCAGAGAGGTCTTGTCTTCCAAAATCTGATGATCGGACTGAACTCTGGTATTTAGCAATGTAGCATGTATACCCCTCAAAGAATGTCACAAGGTAACTGGTTTAAAAAAGAAATCACCTTTAAGATGAGTGGCAAACGGTAAATGGCACTGAAAAAGTATTTCAGCTTTTAAATAAGTCCTGTAGCGAGTGGAGTCTGCAAAGTGATGCATGGGGTACATTTTAAAAGAAAGAAAGGAGAGAAAAAAAAATTGCCAAACCAAATCCTTCCATTTTGTTCACAGGTCTTGACGTTTATGAAGGAGAAAATTTTTTGGCTTGTGCTCGAACCCTCTTTTCATATTCTACTCTGTTTTGGCTGAAAGGGAAAGAAGAAAACCATCAATAGCACAAAGAACTCAAAACCAAGTTGACAGCATCGCAGGACAACACGAATCTGGATTCAGTTAAGTAAGTCTCCTTGCACATGCAGTGATGCTTTGCTGCCACCTACTGAGCAGTAACAGTAATGACATGAACAGAGCAATACGATTAGGACAAGAAGCAATGCACCTTTCAATAAATTCTAGATATTCTATCGGCTTTTAAATACTTTACATTAAAAGCAATTGTAAAACTTCACATGATTATCACCTTTATTGGATATGAAATTAAAAATGGAACTTGGCAGCCTCAGCTTCTATGAAACCACTGTTCACATAAGAACTGAAACTCTTAAATTTCTGAAAAGCTAGGACCAGTCTAAACAGCAATCCAATAAATGAGTCAGGTCATTAAAAGCACAAAAAACCCATGGACAGTGCTTCAGCAAAAGGAATAGAAACCCCTGGTATAAGTAGAGATGCTATTAAGTACAAATACACCTCTCAGAGCTAAATAGCTCAAGCAGGGTTTAAAAAAAAATAATTTTACATTATTCACTCTTGCGAAGCCCTTCTTGCAGAGATGTGGGATGGCAAAGGGCAGCTCCCAGCAGCAGAACTCTACAGCCCTTTGCCTCTGAGCTGGCACTCAGGCCATTACGCCTGCATTTCTGCTCTACCTATACTACCTGCCTGCACTACCAATTGGTCTCATCGGGCGAGAGATTTTTCTGGTAGCTTACACATTATAAAACTAAGGGTTCACAAAACGGTAAAAACCCCAAGTGCAATTACAAAGTTGGAAACCGTGGTTTCTGCAAAGGAACAAGTAATAGGTTTATTCCATGCTGAAAAGAGAAAAAAGAAAAACACATTGGTTCGGCTGTGGAGCTTCTTCAGGTGTGGAAGAAGCCTCTGCATGCTGATGTGCTACCCACCTTAACTAACAAGTTTTGTGCTTTGAAGGGACACCTACGTTTTCCTACTAAACTTACTCTTCAAACTAAATGAAGACTGGAAGGTATGGTATTTCACTCCACATGTCCAACAGACTCAAACAGCATACAGCTTATACATTCAAAGAGGCTTGTGCGAATGTCAAGCATTTTATCACATGTAAACAGCCAGACCAGGGGTAAAAAAGCTGGTCTCTTTGAATTTCCAGAGATAACCGACCAGGAACACCACAAACATGACTTACTTGTATGAATGTTAAACAATAGACTGGCATCTCGGTATGGCACTTAATGAGTCTCACAACATCAGTATTGAAGAGCGTCTAAATATCAATTTAGAACACTTGGCTCTGTAAACATTCACTGGACAGATAAAAGCAACTCACCAGTAAATTGTATACGCCTCTGCTTGGGCAGGATCCTGGATATTTGGCTCATTCAGAAGTTCCTGAATTCCTAACAAGATCTAGGAATTGAAAAAACTGGTATTAAAAAAACTGGCCGCCAATAGGTAGTTTTCAGTTACCCAGAACCCCCAAACTACACTCACTCTATTAAATGGCATTTGCAAAAGAAAATTAGAGGACTTTTCTCACTAATAAAAAAAGTTGGCAATAGACATGGTTTTTGTTGCAACAGTTTGAGAAGGTTGGACTGAATTCAAGATTGATGGCCTGCAAGAGACCATCTGTTGACATTGAGCATTCCTTAAAGGCTACTGCAGACATGGGCCTGGATTAACAAGATTAAACCAGAACTTCAAAAACACAGGGAGCAACTTGACTCGCCTGGAGCTTTCTAAAACCCCACAGGGATCTTACCAATGGAAACCGGCCTTCAACTTCTGCAGTTCCGATTGCCAATATGAGCTATTCCCCACCTTCTCCCTTCATCATAAACCTACCTGCTTAATAGTGATTGCTGGCCTCCAGTCCTTGTCTTCCTCTAAAATAGATAGACAAACTGTGCCAGAAGGATACACGTTTGGATGGAATAGTGGAGGCTCAAATTTACCTAGGAAATGAAGATTTGAGAGTGTTCATTACCCACTGGACTAAAGCCCCAGTTGAAATAGGCCAGTATTCTATCATTTCCTGCAGTCTTCACACTGGGCAAAAGGCAGAACTGGCTTGAATTACATACAGAAATCACTCTTGCTGGAAATGTTGGTGTAAACCGACTGTTTCATACACAAGTACTGTAGCAGAAACTAAAAGGAATTCAGGGACTGTCCAAAACAATTCTACCTTTTTGCAGTCATCTGCTTCTCATTATTTTTAAACGAAGCATTAAAGTGCACAACTCCACTCTCTACAGGGGAGGCTGGATTTAAGGTAGTCTCGCTCGCAAAACCATTTGGTTCCTTGCTCCAATTTAAAATCAGTCTCTTGGAAAAAAGACTGAGAAAACGAGCACAGATGTTCCAGCGCTGCTCTTCAGTGAGAGCCAGTTTCCCCAGACTTAAATGTTTTAATACTCCAGAGTAAAAGATAATGAGACCCGACTCAAATTAAAATTCAATTCCCATCATATCAATGAAGGGAGTGACTGCTGAACAGTACAGCATGCAAATCAGTGGGAACTGATATTGCAGACAGAGGACAATATACAGAATAAAAAAAGAGTTCTTACACTTTGGAGGAGAAGACGGATAATCATCCTTGAAAAGCATCCGAAGCTTAAACAAGCCTCCTTCCCATGGGGTCTGAGAGAGAATGTCAAATATAGCGATTAACATTTAGAATACTATCTTCCGTGGGGGGAGAAAAATATGCACAGTTAAATGTAAAACTTAGAATATCCCGAATCATTATGCATGTGCCTCAAAATGGTTATTCACACCAAAAAAAAAAAAGTAATGCAAGAATATTCAGGACCATCCTCCCAAAACGCACGGCTGTTTCAAGAACAAAAACCATAACAGATACTCTACTTTGGGCGTGTTGAAAGCAAAATACAAACCAACCTCCACACACACACACAAAAAAAAAACTTTAAATGAAGCAAAAGGCAAGCCATACCCCTTTCTTGCCAGGAATGGCGCACTCCCAGTTCATTAGATTCATCGTCCCATCAGGATTCTTTGTTGGCACAGCCACAAAGCCCTGCGAAAGAAAAGACATTTGACATTTCACGTCCCTTTATAAAAAAGGGAAAACTCATCGCTTTATTATTAAGTCTCACATTACACTGTGCAAATTCAACTTTCAATCTTGCAAAACTATCCAATAGAGTTTTGGTATGAAAGCTCACACCACCATTAAGGTACTGCATTTACCAGGTCAAGAAAGACGAGCTGAAGATTCCAGCTCATCTTCAGTAACACTATAAAGACTACCGGCACCAGCATTATCTACCGCAAGCAGAGAAATGTCAAAAATTAGTTTACCTACAGAACTGTGACAGGCTCCATAAGCCCCGAAGACTATTTGCTGCACCTTGGAGGTGAAATCCAGTGCACAAGACAGGAGCACAAATCTTCCCCCTCAATACTAAACTGCAAAAAAACTGAGCTGCAAAGATCCCTTAATATCTAAATGTACTGTCAGGGCTAACAATATGTCAAATGGCAGCTCTGCAGGTAGATGTGCTTCTACTATATATACACTCTCCCCCATACAGGAGTCCCTCTTGGAGAGCACACATTTTACATAAACCATACTAATTCTGAAGCCTACAATAGAAATAACCTATTTCAAAATTTAAATTTGAGACAACTGTCAACTTAAGTCTTCTAAAAACATGCTTCATAATTCATCAGCTGACTTTAACCCCCTTCCACAACTTCACAAGATGTACACTGCATTCCCTTTCATCCAAAGGCATGCTGCACTAATCAGGGCATCAGGGTCCACCCTAAAGCTACCCTGCTGGTCCCAGATTATCATATGCTTCCCTGGAATTTGGAGAGGACTTAATTGCACCCTTAGTGTTGATGGGACACTGCTCTTTAACACTGTGTGGCAAGAGGTGTCTAAAACACACTGAGCAGCAAGCTCGTGCTAATGCACTATGCTGAAATACTCTCCCCTCAGGTGTGAAATGTAATTGGTGGAGAACTCAAGAGTTACTTCATCTACAACAATTTGAAAGCAAGCTTCAGGACGTGCTCTTTGCTAGAGCAGGACATCCAAGTTTGTCATGGCCAATATGCAGATTTGAAGCACCCAAGTACTACAAAATTATAAAGCACTTTAATAAATATCACCCATAAAAAACCCTCCAGACAAGGTTACTGGAGTTCTACTCACAAAGGGATGGTCTTTTCGCCAGGCCTTTCTCTCCTGTGCCAGACGGCTTAAGGCTATACCAGACATGACTTCAGGATCCCTGAAAGCAAAAGATTTGAGATAGCAAGGTTTTAAAAACCTGAATAACTCATTGGAAGCAAACACCCAATTAAAAAAAAAAAAAAGAGGCAGTTTCTCATTTTACAGGACCAATCAGTTAGGCAGTGCCATCTAGTGACAACACTGCTTCTCCAGGTGTAGGTAGAGAAATGCTGAACATGGTAGTAAACAAGTTTATTCTCCTTCAGTTAATCTCTAGTTTAGAGCAAGGCCCAGTATTTGTTTTTTATATATACACCTTGTAAAGCCAGCTTCATTTTTGGAAAAGCTGTAAAAAGGCTGAAGCTTAAAATGCAACAAACTGCATTTTGTATAATAAGTGGCACACACAGCAGCACCTCACAGGATGTGAGGATAGGTTGAAATTCACAGCAACCCAAACAGGCATCAACTCCAGTTCTGGCTCTTGGGGAGGGTGGCCTGCAAACAGCCTACCAGGGAGGTAAAGACTCAAAGTCAACCCACCACTACCCAAATCTCAGTGCAGGACCCTTTCCGGACAACAATTAAGATTTAAAAATCATACAAATTCAGCTGATAAATACTAATGGTTTTACTGGTTAACCAAGCCAGATCTTGAAGAAACCAGTATTGGACTTCGTACAGGTCTGGAATTAACTGCTGTATAAAGTCATCACTTCAGCACCCCTAAATTTACTAGGGCTCTAGGAAGGTTCCACCCCCTCACACATCAACTGTCAAACTTTAATGGTCACAATCTTGATTACAAACGAGCTTTTCTAAAATGCCATGGTGATATTCTACAGATGCTTAAGGTCTTTAAATGTTAAAATACAGAAGCTAGCATTTATAGTCAGGCTGCAGCAGTTGCCCTCAGTAGACACCAGATGCTGTGGCTACTGACAAGCACAGCTTTTAACATGTTATATTCGCCATTAACAAATAAACATTGAAGATCATTTTTTTCCCCCCCAATCCACTGTCCAAACGAAGCAAACTAACAGTTCAGATCCATTAGTCTAAACTGACACCCAGATAGAGGGAGCTCAGATTCATTGTGCCAGGGGTGGTCACGACAGTAAGGGATTATACTGGTGTCCCACACTTGTTAACTGTAGTCATCCATCAATAATTTTACTGGCTGCCTTCACTATCCACGCGGTTTTTATTCAGTGAGATATGTTTGCCAAATCAGGCTACCGCAGTGAACTAGGGCAGATTCAACAGAAGTTCTGTAGAATAGAGTCCTTGTTGAACTACCCACATTGGGAGTGGAAAGAACAGTCACTGTATACTACAACATATGGCATCGGGTTCTCCTTAAAAGTTATCAACAACTGATTAAATTGAAGACACTAGCCATTCAAATCTTATATCTTGCTAGACTGGGCATCAAAACATTCCAACAGGAGATCAGAATTGCAGATGAAAGTCCTAAGAAGAAATGTCACCTGGAATATGCACAAATTGCACTGCTACTTAAATTTGTAATGTAAGCTATTACACACTGGGAGTCTTCCACACCTGCCAAAAAAAAAAACTATTTCCAATCATGATCCTACAGCAGCAGTGCACAGGCAGCATATTGCAAGCAGCTGGCTGGAGTTTATCAGCTCCCTATCACTGAATTGGTTTCATTCCTCCACACTCCTCCCACTGAAAGCTGGTGTGTGGTGAGCATAATGGTGTACTTTAGCTGCTGTCGCATCATCCAGGTCGTAGTGGAGGGGATGCCCTTTACCTGTATAGCACTTTGAGTGGAGTGTAAAATGTATAAAAGAGTAAGGAACTGTTACCTAGTTACAGCAACAATATAGTACTACAGGCTACAGGTGGTGAAGTGCTGGCAACTAGACTACCAAGACTAAGTTAACTGGTTAACCCAGATGTCTAATGAAAGAGGCAGAGCATGGAAAGTGTGGAAGGCAGTCAGCAAACACTAAAGTTTGGCCAAGATCACCCCCCCAGATCTGGAACCATTACAGGATAAGAAGAGAAACTCGGATCTATCAGAGTGGTATCACTTTGTGGCAAGTGCCCCAGTGCAATCCAGAGATTTTTCCCTCCCCCCTTTAAAAGCAAAGAGGATTTATAAGTCTTGGGTCAGAAAAAGCAACCCCCATCACCCCCCAAATCTGATGTTCGTGCAACGGCTGTCTTCTCTGCAAGCCAGACGCTTTCGGAAGTGTCCAATTTAAGAGAAAGGCTCATAATGGTGCATAGTCCTCAGTCTGCTACTACAAAAAGCATGCCAAGGGTGAAGATGGTGACGGTCAAAGGTACGTTGATACGATTTCGTACATAGCGCCAAGTCACAAGCGAAGACTAAGAACTGGAGGCCCACCTGCACCCGTGTACACTATCGCAACTCCAGTGAATTTTTGCCTTGTATAGCTTAGGCAGTCTACAGGAACTAAAAGCTTTTAAAGCCTAGCATTTACGTTCCTTGTTGCACAATAATTGCCAAAACATTACACATGAAGATCTAAACCTGCTTCGACCCCCTCGCTTCATTAGAGCCACGTGACTCGGCAGGCCAAAAGTAAAAGGACAACCTCACAAAGGCATCGGCTATGTGCCCTGATGTCGGCAAACAGAACTTGGACGCACTCTGAAGACCCTCATTGGGCACCACCATTCTGCTAAACACATTTTGGATGAAAGAGATCCTGTGTGGATCACAGCATTGATGACGGAAAGGAACTCTAGTTCCCATTGCAGAAAACCTCCAAAACAGATGTAAACAAAGATGGTATGTTGCCTGTGCTGGGGCACCTTGTATTGCCTTTAATATTCAACACGGAGAAGAAAAATTGTGGGAGCAGAAAACAAACACCGAGCCGTTTTCAAAGTCGTCTCTCCACATCCTCCCGATTGTGACTGTGAGGGGTCTGGGCTCCAGTCGAGAGACTGTTGCTGACTGGGGCCGCTAAAGAACTTCCCACAAGCCCAAAGATACAGAACAGCACAGGAAAGTAGTTCAGGTGGGGAGCTGCGTCAGCATGCGCAGGCTGCAAGAGGAACAAGTAATAGGTTTATTCCATGCTGAAAAAAAAAGAAAAAAAACAACGTTTCGGCTGTGGGGCCTTCTTCAGGTGACGGCACAGGAAAGAAGAGCATTTACTCTTCCTCTTTAAGCAAGATAGAAAGGTATGAGGAAAAGTATTTTATTTACAGCCTCAAACAGACCACAGACGCAGAAGTCCCAAGATGCAGCCTGCAGGGGCTTCTCGGGCCCACGATTCAGGGCTGGACATCTGTCTGACCACAGAGGCCTGTCGCTTATAGAGGAGTCCCCATCGACACTGGTCAGAGCCGGAGAACCTCGCCCAGCAGTTCGGGACAGGATGGGCTATTTGAGAGCCGCTGATCACGTCTGAACAGCATGTTTCTGAAGGATGAAGCAAAAGCCAGCACCAAAATTCCACCATCATATCCTCAGGGACCCCGGAGCTGTGAGGCAGCAGTGCGAAGAATCACGCCGCCCCACAGAGTAACGGAGACTACAGGTTGAGTCAAGTGTCAAGATAGCCGAGCGCTGTTTTACCCATGTTAACAACGTGTAGAGCGGAAGTTGGAGAGATGATAAGGGAGACGGGAATGAGAAAGTGAAACGGACAACTTTGCTTCAATCTTGTTCAACAACACTTAAGCGACACCGATTTAAAGCGTTCGCTGCCAACTTAACTTAAAGTGCAGGAGGAGTCAGGTCTTCAACGCAAAACTTTCTGAGCTGGAAGGTTCCGGAATCTGAATGTGGGGTTTAGATGAGCCCGAAACGGACAGCTACCCTTACAACTCGAAAAAAAAAAAAAAGATGTAGGCAGAGAAGAAGTGAGGAGGACCAAAATGCTTTGAACTCGTCACATCCCATGAAACTCCGGGTTCACCTAGCGCCATCAGACGGCTTGCGGGGATAGGGGTGCAAAGAGACGAGCACTACACAAGTCGAACTGGACAGGGGGGGGGGGTAATTCACGCCTTGGTTCCGATCCACTCTTCAAATGATAAACCGTCTTACTGGAGAAAGAGGATCGCCACGCTTGCATCGATTCAAAAGGCAGAACCCCCGTTATAGTCCAAGCTCCCTGGTCAATCCTGTATTAAATGCTTCGCTCTGTGTGTCCCTGATGCAAATCTCCCACCCGGTCCCCGGTTTTGACGGCCCCGGGGTGCGATACCACTGCAGACACGGCACCGGTGCATCGCGTCTGTCTCGGTCTCCCCCTCCAGACGGAGCCGTGGAGCGGGAGAGACGCACACTACAGTTATGTGAAATCGCGCTGGTCCGTTGCTGTGATCAATCAGTACGTTTAACCCCCACGGCTGGGTTTTTAAAGCAGCTTCATGGGCGTTTAATGAATAAGAGAGGAAAACGCGGATGGCTACTAGTTTGATTCCCCCATAACCCGCGCAGGACAAAGGACTAGGCTGTTCCCTAGCCCAGGCGTCCATTCACACACCAACACAAAAACACACTCGGGCTACAGCGCTTCGGGGATCGTCTTTAAATACTAACCGATGCGCTCCCATCAAACTTCTTACCTTAATAATTATACAAATGCCTACGGTTTTCTGAAACGTTTGGATTTTCTGAAGAATCGTATCTTAACTCGGGACAAAACCAACGAAGTTTCCCTCCTGAAAAAAAGCTCCGAATTTCACCCAGGCTAAATAGGACCTCTTGTTAACCCGCCGCCCGCCTGAAAACAATCAACGAAGATTCCTGATTTTCGTATCTCGGAGCTGGTCTTAATTGACGCGCTTTGGCGTCAAGACTCACCAATTATAAATTTGTCATTTGTATTCTTACTGAATCTATTCAAATAAGTCGAGAAGCCGGACTTACTAAAGACAAACGTCACACTCTGTATTAGAACGGTTCAGGAAATGCGAGAAAATGCTAACATAATCTTATTTAATTGTAAAAGAGCCGTATATTCCACATTTTTAAAATATTTTATGCGCAAAAATATTGTCCTTGCAGGCACCTCTTTAGATACCTATATATTTAAAGGAGCCGCGTTCTCTTTTCAAGGGACTATCAATAAAAAGTGAAATAATTGAGCCCGGAAAAAAGAGGATTCCGTTTCTATCTTACCTTTTAGGCAAATTGTGTTGGGGTGTCTGAACAGCTTTGTGCTTGTACATTTGTCTGCTATGTAGCTCTTTTACTTGTATATTTTTCTAGTACAAACCACTTACATTACATTACTCATCTTGTCTAATTCTGTGGTGTCTAGCTCTTGTCCTGAAAGGTCTGTGTGTCTGCAGGTTTTCATTCCATCTAATCTCTGAACAACCAAAACCTACTCTTTGTTAGCTTAAATGAACCAGTTTAAACAGTTTCTCCCTGAAAAACAGTTTTTCCAGGTGCTGGCCCTTTAAGAAATATTCCAGGGTGAGGACTGAAATCCCTGGTCTAATTCACACATTCACCTTCTCATTCAGGTAACATTATCTATGATATAGTTATACAGATAGCATAAAAAACAGTGTCTACCCATAGTAGTTTAAAACCAAGACGTAAGATTTCCTCAAGGCAGTGGTGTGCAGCTGTCTGAAAGTTCGTGCACCACCTCTGCTCTCAATGGCCCAGCCAAGACTAACGTAATTGAATGTAAGGACTGAATATCCTTAGCTTAACTGAATGTTTCCATTCCTTTTCCTGTTGCTATTTTGTTAATCAAATTGCCATTTCCATTATCTTACTGTACATGCAATACAAGGCAGGCTAATTGGTGTTTAATTACATAGTACAGTTTTTTTTAACGGGTTCACCCTTTCTATGGATGGATACTACAGTAGCAACTTTCCAGTTTATGGGTACGACCTCTGTCCTGAGGAACTGCCTGCAAATAACATCACTCAGTTTAGGATAGTAGGTTCATAGTATTACTACTTTTGTAATTATGCTATTGAATATAGTACCTGTAACATATATGCCTCTTCTATGTTAATAGCATTTAACACATAACATGCTGTAGTGAAATAATTATTTAATACATTAACCACTTCCCTTTCACCATCTAAAAACGTTTTTTTTATGTGAAAGACAGAGATATTTATGTGAAAGCCATGAAGTCAGATGTGTTTAGCTAATTATGTATTCTAAATGGTTGCTGGTTAGCAGCATAATGTTTGCAACTTGTTTCATTTATTAATCTTTATTTTATAGTTGCATGATGTAGTAGCTAAAACGCAAGACCAAATGTTGCAGCTCTGAAGTTATTTTGAGATGATCCCTTAGGCTCTAAGGCCCAGAGGTCTGTCTGGGGACTGTGCTTTGCATTTTTATTTTTTCAAGGGTGTAGTTGAACCAGTTCATATTTACTAACTGATTTACATAAAGTCCTCATCAGTTTCTGTCTTTCATCCACTACGGTTTCACAGAAAACACGCTTACTACACAAATACAGTCTCTTGGGAGATGTCACAAGATGACTGCCTCTGTTTTCTATTGTCAGGAACGAAAAAAAGAGCAGCTCCAATCTTCTTTGGTTTGACATCTTTATTGTTGTACCGAGCAGTAGGAGAAAGAGTGGCACCAAGAGGGCAGCAGCAGTAAAACGGTCTCAAATGCTGGATTCAGTAGAGTTGTTTCTGAACCCTGTTTGTTTACTGCACTGACCTTTTATACTATTTTCTTACTTCTTACTGTGGAGCTTTGCTGTGTGTGTACTTGACTATAAAAGGAAAAAGGCCATGTAATTAGTGAGTGTTGGCAGTACAATCTCTTCTGTGTCCGCATGGTTTGATAAGATCCAGTCTCTCAGCATTTGGGCACCCTCCTCATACCCCCCGCAGCTGTGGTCTGGGGACAAAGTTGTATTTCCGACAGTGTTCCCTCATGATAACCTCACGTCGGGTGAGTAATATTCCTGGGAGTTAATCACTTCTGGCTCGTCTGAACTGTTGATCAGCCAAGACAATCTGCTAATGTCTCTGCAGGGGGTGGTCCATTTTGTTACCTGGAATTAATTGCTTAATTAGCCCAATTAATTTGTGCTGCAGATAACTTTAATAGGAACAAGAAGTAGGTTTATTCCATGCTGAAAAGAGAAGAAAGAAAACACAACGTTTCGGCTGTGGAGCCTTCTTCAGGTGACGGCTCCACGGCCGAAACGTTGTTTTCTTTCTTCTCTTTTCAGCATGGAATAAACCTACTTCTTGTTCCTTTGCAGCTTATGCATGCCAACGCAGCTACCCACCTAGGTAACTTTAATAGGCAACTATTAGCTGTAGCACAGATTTGCAATCACCTGGAGCCCAGGTAAAACCCAGTTTGATCCAGTTTGATTCTTTTCTTTTCCCCACGTCTATGTTTCAACAGTTATGTAACTTCAATGACAAAGCTCCTCCTTGTCTGAGGTGTTGACACTTGGCTTAGTTATTTTAGAACGCCTTCAGACAGGTTAAGTCTGGAAATTACTCTCTTCTTTGTAAATTGAGCATGACGTCTTGTCTGAAGTGATGTTGCAGCTCAAATCTGATAATATATTTTCTAACCGCTTTATCCAACACAGGGTCATGGGGGAGCCAGAGCCTGTTCTGGTAATGTATACACCCTGGACTGGATTCCAGTCCATCGCAGGGCAGACACACAGACATGCACACACTTCCAATAGGGCCAGTTTTCCCAGGAGCTAATTACCCTACAAGCATGTCTATGGACTGTGCTCCTGAGAAAACCTGTAGGGGGAATACACAAACTCCATGCAGATAGCAGCCTGGGCATCAAACCCAGGGCACCAGCCCTGCGAGGCAGCAACGGGGACCACTGTGCCACCATGGGCCCAGGAAAACACTTTATTAAATGCCTCTATGGTCATGTACAATATTCAGTCCATAAGTACATGAAGTGTATTTTAAATGTCGTTTTACTATCCAGAAGTTCTCTGTTTGCCTCTGGTTGATAAGATGTCATTTACATTCACCCAAGAGACTTTCTAATCACCAGTTGGGCTACATGATCGGTATTCAGAGAGTCAGAACAAACTAAGACAAACGTCAATAAGCTGGACTAATTTAGATATGTGGATCTAATAATTTGAAACTCCAAGAAGTATAATATTTTTAACCGGAATGTATCTTTAAAATAAAGTCTCCGATACTGTTCTAAGACAGGCTAGTTTGCAATTGCAATTTTCCTGCAATTTCCCTCACAGGATCAATAAAGTATCTATCTATCTAGTTTTACCCCACTTATGACACATGGTTGCATTACTGACCAGCCTTTGCTGAGGAAAGCCTTGCAGGTCACCATTAAATTTACTGAACAAACCATTTGCTACCATGGTCAAATCTGAAGATTTCCCATAATTGACTTGCTAGTGACCCATAAACCCTGCAGGACTGGGGCTCTCTGGCAGCAGGGCTGCAATCCAGCTCTTTATAAGAGGAACAACAGGCAGAGACTGAGACAGTGGTGTGGAATTACACCCAAAGGCCTGCAGTCAGAATCCCCCCTAAAAGGATGTTGGCGTTGGTTTCCATAAGGTTCAATTCACACATTTACGACTATCACATTTTTAATTCACACATTTATAAGAATTCAAACATGAATAACTAAAACCTATCATGTTATGAGAAATCACGTTTGTCTACACTGTCCCAATATCAGGAAGTTTTAGAATATTTCTTCTGTATTTTGTAGGCTAGTATTTTGTTTAATGATCTAATGGTTTTGAAAGTATCTGTTTTTGACTCAATTTTGCTAAGGCTTTTTAAGTTTTTGTTACCAACTCATGTAAGGGTATGAATGACTTTCTAAGTTTCACCCTCACGTGATTGTGTTCGAATCTTGTCAGCATTTGCCCTTGGAATGGTGTGGAAACCTCCTGTACCTCCTTATAATTACGTTGACATGGTAAATTAGCTCAGTTCCAGCAATTGGGTTTTAAACTTTTAATTTTCTGGCTTTTGCAGATTTTATGTAAGTATATATTCAGGTAAGAGCAGCACAGTTTTCTCCCTCTCTCTTAGATAAACGTGATGTTCAATCTGCTTCATGAAAAGCAGGCCTTGGTTATGTCCTAGCACTTTAAATCTAGTTATTTTAAGACTGCAGATGGTTTTCTTGGCTAATCTATAACGAGCTGATTGGTAATTATATCTTCGTTTGCCTTTTTTAAAAATATGTTCGGAAATGTTGATTTGTTCTGCCTAGGTCCCGTTATAGTTCTGATTGTGTTGCTCCTTTCTTTTAGCTTCTTGCAGAATGTTATGAGCCTAATTGCCCAAAAAAGAAACCCCTGGCCACCAAGACACACCTGTCAGCCAATTGCCCCAATATTCTGTGAAATTGATGCAGGAGGGCAAATCAATTTATGTCAGTTCTGAAGGGCAGGGTTTCTCACTTCTGCTTCTGGGAACCCCCACACCTGCTGGTATTTGTTCTACCTGAGCAATTAAGTAATAGAACCTTATATAGACCTAATAATAGGTTTAATTTAAGCTCTTTAATTGTTTACACTTCTTAAACATGTCAGAAGTTGCCTTTTAACTATTGTGTAAGTAACTTAATTGTTAAGTAACTGCAACCTTTGCATAGAGAAAAAACCTTGTCAATGTTCTGAGCAAGCAGCTGCCGAGCTCAGCTCCAGTGAAAACAGCAGGCGTTTGGGTTCCCAGCAGCAGGACTGGGAACCCCTGCCCTTGGGTTGGGTTGGCCTTGTTTCCCTTAACTGTGCCGATGCTTGAAAGTCAAGCAGCCCCCCCCTTCCCTGAAGGAGTCTGTGTCGGCTCCTGTCTTTGCAACAGCACTTGCAGATCAAGATGCCATTATCTTAGAGACTGATGTTTCATCACAAATGAAATATTAATCTATAAGAAGGGCATTTTCTCCCACAGATATCTTGAAAAGCAAACTCTACATGTGAAAAAGTTGTCCAAATGCCTCAAGAAATGCTTTAATGGCTCATTGGACTATTTTTGGTCAATTCCACTACCTAGGGTTGGACACTAGGTGGAGCCCTTACAAAGTATTCAAGACTTGCCCAGTTACTACTCTTACAGATAGGTATGTTCTCCAGGATATGCAAGATAGTGAAGAGGGCACTTATTCACAGGTGGCTCCTGAAGATGCTAAATAAGAGTCGAGAATAGAGTTATTAAGCATTACAACCTTTATGCATTCAGGCACACGGATGAAAATGCAACACATTTTGCAAAGTGAAAGTCCAGAACCTCTCGAATGTTGCTCACACCAAAACAACCACCTATTACTTATTACCATGGTGATTAAGATTGTACCTAAATGAACAGTTCATAAAGGGATATCCTCTTAATCAGATATTACATAAGAAAACTCTGTTAATGAACATCTGCAAACATCCATCTTCGCTAAATCAGAGAGTATACTTAACCGGAATAAAGAGCTTTTCTTTCCTGGGTTCAAGCCAAGATTAAATACACGAGTGGAGTACTAGGACTGAAAATCAACCTCCCAAACAAACACTTGACAGCTAAATAAAGAGACTGTGGAAGGCTGATTTTCTGCCATTGCCCAGCTTTGCATTCTTTAGTCCTGTTGTAAGGGAGACCTGACTGGACATGCTGTAGGGAGAGGCAGTAGAATGTCACTTTACAGGCTCTGCACCCCCTGCAGTTAAATCCCAACTCTTACACCGCATGCATTTTCACTCTTTTCAAGGGATACTGTAATGCGCATTAACCAGTCTGACCCAGGTTGGGCTGACTCAACCGGTGAGGGATGGTAACTGTGACAGTGTCGACAGTGTGGACACAGCAGTTAAGTCAGTGACACAAAACAAGACACTGACGCACATCTCCCAGCTTCAAGTAACATGCATATGGCTGCCTGCTCACTGAGGTATCAGTTTCTCAGTGTAGGATGAGCATCAGAGAAGACATATTCCAACAAAGCATGATTAAATCCCTCCCAATGCTGCACTAGAACTCAAAACAGTCCAGATTCAAGTTCCACAGATGTCAGGATCCTCTTTTCTCGCTGTCCATGCTGACAAGTTGCCAACTCGACCTACCCTCTTAATAACCACAACCACCTCCCCTGCCAGAATGTGATACTACTACTTTAGCTTTCTTCCATGCAGAGTTATGTTGCCACAGCAGACGCATAGTCATGAGCTACTGTGTGATATTTGTAACGATGAGCCCATCTGTGGTCAAAAATACCAAATGTGCCCAGTTGAAAACAGCTGCTGCTTGTCAAGTGGCAGTAAAGTGTGGCTGGAGTTAGTCAGTGGTTTCCTGTCCCTTTGAATAGGAGGGTGCAGATGGTTTTCTGCACCGTATCCTAAACATACACATACCAGAACACCAGAAACACAAATATAGGTTGAAACAGGGCAGCACATCTTTGTGCTTTTAATCAAGGTTCCAATGTGGGGTAATCGACCTCCATTCTATAATCAAAAGCACAAACCTGTTGACGTGGTTGTCGCCTGTCGAGTCGGTCACAAGTGAAGAAGCCCAGCTTTTAGTACTGATAACGCAGTCATTTAGGAAGTTAGAAAAACAAGGGACACAAAACCACACCGGACAGTGATGATAAAAAACCCCAGCAAAATGCGTTTACGTGCTCGGAGAAAGGTCAGTTTTGCCCCTTTGAGTGCATACTTTCAACAATACTGGTAGCCCAGCATCTTGGTATTCTTTGACCCTCCACAAAAAATAAAAATCTGCAGTAAAAGATTCAAAAAAGAACAAATGATACAGAACTGTTAACTGGGTAGGTCACAGACCACGTTTATTAGGGGCACAACGCCCAGGCATATCATAAGAAAGGTTACAAACAAGGGGAGACCGGTCAGCCCTTCTAGCCCGTTCCCCAATGTTATTATATATATATATTATATAAACCTATATAATATATATTAACAAATACAAAAAAATAATAAGAGAATAGACTCAAAACAGTAGTGACATGACAAACCGGTGCAAAAAAAGTTGTTCTACTAGGGCTTATTCTTTAAAAAAAAAATAAAAATGTAACTTAAACAGATTAAAAGATGATATTCACTATGTCAAGTCTTTTAACAAGTAAACACATTTCTAAATAGCTTGAATGTTAACCTACAGCAGCCTTTGAGAGAAATGAACTTCTTCAAACAGTATATACTGTAGATTGTTTCCATAATATTTTTTTGCTACATTAGGCAACATACAGGCCAAACAGAAGATTCACCATGTTGTACTAAAATTCCTAAAATCTAACAACGTCCAGTTGATCTGACAGGACGTGGGGTAGCAGGAAAGTCCCTTGAGGTAGCACTAGAGATAATTACGACTGACAGCGTGGCAAGCCAGGGGTTCGGAGGTATCTGTGATCGAGGGAGAGAGCAGATCCTGTTGGATTTCCAAAAAGCATCATTAAGAACGGAGCATCTAATCTACGTGTTAACTGGATCCAGGTTTAGTATAATTTCCCTGCTGAATTAAAATGCACTGATACCACGAAAGCCATCTTCACAAATTATACCCCTTTCGCGACTTTATAAGCCACCGAATGTGTCTAAACCCCCCACACTAAACCCCCTTCTTCCTAACTTACTAAAAAAAAAAAACTTTTGAAGAATAAGTCTCAGGAAGGGGGGAGAAAATTGCTATCAGGACGTGTAACTACGCAGATGAAGAACACAGAATTTGTTATTTACAAGCTGCGATCAAAGCCCACTGGCTTCAGGAGACCTAGGGTGCCAATTGGCTAGGTTAAATACAAATCAGCAACTACACTAAAGGTAGAAGGAAGGATGTACAAGGTTACTGGAAGGCTTCAAAACGTGACCGCAATGTAAACATCACTGACCTCTTGGGCAGACAGGCCAGCTGTGTTGTCACTGAATCTTTTTGCAGATTAGAACTTGCACTCCACAATTAAAAGCCCTTTTTTAGATGTAAAAAAACAGCATGCGCACACACACACTAGTTCCAGGCATCACATCAACCTCATTCTACACATATCCAAAACAGAAATTGTGAAACTTCTTACTTCTGGAAAATTAAGTGCTGCCAAAAGTATTACTCCTGCTATTTTCCCTGACCAGTATTCAATGTCTAGTTTATATACTAGAGCATCTAAAGTGGATTTGGTCATAAGAATTAAACATTTAGACGTATAAAAAGCTCCTCAACTGAATTCTCATATTAATAAATCTACTTTTATTATACAGCAGTTTTACTCGTATAGATTAGGCCAGAGCAGAAAAGAACTAATAAAATATTTTAGTTCAGTGCTTAAACTTGCATATTTACAAACTGTGCTCAAGTCATGTGCCAAGCTGTATAATAACAATTAAAAAAAAATATACAGCAAGGCTTGCGCTATTTTTTTTGCTTTACGCTGATGTGTTCAGAGGAGTGTGTGTGCGCCCAGTATATACTGACACACTTGTTTCAGAGGATGTGTGATTGTGTGTAACAAAGCAAATTCAGCTTTTACAGTCTGTTGTTTAAAGCACTCAGTTTTACAGCTAAAACAGTCTTTAACAGTCACCATTTGTTAACTCTGTACTTCAGGTCAGCTCTACCTTTCCAGATGGGTTAAGAATCGAATGCCAAAATCGGACACAGTAGGCAAAACAGACCCACCATCAATCAGGAACTTTAAACACTACAGAGGCCATTGTGTAAAGCGAACAAACCCAAAAAAAGTCTAGCGTATCTAGAACGCCCGTCCCAAAGGACATCCCTTGTTATCGCCATCGGAAGAAAGACAAGGTTTAGCCCCACTGTTTTGTTCTTGCTAATAAAACAGGAGATAGATGTTAAGTTGAAATAGATACACATATAAAATCCTTGGTTTTCCGGCCCGGCAAGTGTTTATTAAACTATTTAAGTTCTAAAAAATGATAATTCAAAGAACAACATGACCTACATTTCAATCAAAACACTCAACCCTAACTCTTCAACCAGCATAGCTCTCAAAAAACCAAGCTACTGTTAAAAAAAAAAAAATCAACTTCAAATTCAGGAAGCCAAGATCTGCATTTCTTCACGATGTTTCTCTTCTGAAGCTTACATAGGTCTGAAATATCTTCAGAATGTTCTTTAAACCTTGAACACAGCTGCTTTTCAAATTGTCATTTATTGGAAATGGAATGGAAATTCCATTTGAGGTTTTTAATCTATGAAACAAAATCACACTTTATCGAAGCATCTGTTTTTTTTTTTAAGTTAAATTGAAAAAGGAGACAGTTGGTCTCCCTCAAAGGGGGGTGCATTCTGATATGTAATACTTTTTTTACTGCCTGAAAAATCTTAAACCCAAACTGTCTCTTCCCAAGAAAATTAAAACCACTTTTTATTTTGAGCTTCAGGTCTGACATTATAAATATATATCTATGTACACATTACAAAAATCCCTTACAAGACCTCTCAGAAGTAACAGGGTTAAAAAAAAGCCTAAGAAAGTGGGGAAACACCTGAGTAAAACACTGGGCCAAGAGTGACTGCAGGACCGTCTTTTTCTTAGTTTTGCGAACTTCGACATGCACATCGCCAAGCGGTACAAGCTTCAAGAAACAAAGTGATAACTTCAGTCATTATTCTCCCCCTTTACTTTTAAAAATGCAGTCCAGTTTACTTATATAGGCAACGAGTCGCCAAACTGACTCGCTATACACATAATTTTAAAAAAATGACAAAAAATGACAAAAAAAAGCATGTAGGCCGCAAGCAGTCTCTCCTGTTTGCGCTCCCTTGTTTGTCAGGTACTCTTCGTCAGCGGCGATGTGTCTGTCTTTCTGCTTGGAACGCAGCTGAGTACAATAGTTTAGGGTTCAATACTGTCTCTTCACATTCTCGATCCTCTCTCCTGAAGAATCTGCAAGACAGAACAAAACGAACCAAAAAATAAGACTCACACAGCTTTGTGTTATTTTATCAGCATCTCCTCACACACAGCCAGTAGCTGTGGCCTGGGAGTTCTCCTACAGCATGGAAGTGAATTGCTGCACAGGCATCGTGTTAAAAGAGTTTTTCCACATGTAAGAGAGAATATGAGACACAGCCTCTCGGTAATACACAGAATATGGCTTTGGATGTGGTTTAAAACTGACATATCTGCTTCAATAAGGGATTAAATAAAAACACACAAGCTGGTGCTGAGCTGCAAAGGAGCAAACAACTGAATGCAATACTATCGTTTTGGCTTTGGGGTCCCATGAATCTCCAATGATGCAACTTTTTGCTGCAATTCAAGCTTAATTTTCCTTCCAGCCTCTTTCCCAGGAATGTCTAACTAAATAAGGACAAGACTGCAGCTTTCTCAAAACCACAGGAGCAGAAACCCAAGGCCAGCCTTGAACTTAACCCTCCTGGACATCAATAAGGTCAGCCTCGAGGAGGTAGGTTCTGGTCCTGGAAGGTCACAGTCCAGCAGGTTTTGTAGACTGCCAGAGAGCAGGTGACCACTTTGTCAAGTTATGTGTTTAGTAAGGTAAATTTTGAGATCGCCTGGAATGAAAGTTGCATTCCATAACAAGTCCTGACTGGTGAACAATTTACATGCTGATCAACAGTTATCAAATTATAATGTCTTGTTACTTAAGTGAAACCAGAAATCTGCTCCCCGTTCGCTGGAGAGTAAAGAAACTGGAACGATCAATCAACTAGAAATCAATTAGCCTAACAGGGGCTCAGCTGGAACAACGAACAGAACAGAGAGGATCCCACAGGACGAGGGCTGAGAACCACACCTGTCAACAGCAAATGCTAGAGAACACTTCACTGTGTTCTTCACTTGCTGTGTGCCGTCTCTTGTTCATCCAGTTCTTTACTTGCTGTGTGCCGTCTCTTGTTCATCCAGTTCTTCACTTGCTGTGTGCCGTCTCTTGTTCATCCAGTTCTTCACTTACTGTGTGCCGTCTCTTGTTCATCCAGTTCACTTGCTGTGTGCCGTCTCTTGTTCAGATTGTGCTTTGTGGAAAAATTGACATGGCATCTGGCACTGGCGTATTCAGGATCCCTGCACTGGTAAAAACCCTTGAATGGATCAAAGTGCTATCTGATGGGGATCTAACGATTCTCCAAGCATTTACATATTCACCTTGGACAATATGCTGCTAATTATTTGAAGCTGAGAACTTTGTTCGATTTCCACCACAAGGTTTCCTGTTAAATACAGACGTATCTGGGCCTGAGTATTTCTAAGGTCAAGGCCAGCTGTGTACATCATTCCTCTACTGCCAGTGAAAGGACACAAAATGCAATGGACATGCTACGACACCTACAAATGAAAATCTAAATCAAACCATTATATGTGTAATAATCATTTAATTGCAACCTTACATTGTTGCAATATGCCCATTTTAAATATTTTATCTGGTTGACAATATTATAAACTTGTCAACTGTCAGCAATTAATTGCTCCATGAGAGCGGCTAGGCCTTTTTGTTTGAAACAAACTCATGAGACTTGGAGGCTCCCCAAGTGGAGTCCAAAACCCAAGAACTAATTAATTCTCATGGTCCCATGTTGAGGAATCTGTTGTTCGTTTGCCAAACCCAAACTGAAACAGGTGCTCAAGGAAAGGGTTTTTGGACCAGTAAGGACAAGTGAAAGCTGCTGACAGGAGAACATTACATATTGAAGCCATTCTCCATTCCTATCAGAGCCAATAGAAAGGGCACATTTTCCATGGAGAGATGGCAGGAATCAATGAATGACAGCAAGTTTTGTAAACGGTCTTTTCCCCACAAACGGAATTTGTCTGCCATTAGCAATCAAAGAAACTGGCAGGTCTGTGTGCCATCGTAACTCGGCGATGAAAACCAACAGCTCCTGTGAGAAACAACTGTCTTCACGCCCTCACACATCACTGCTTCACTGTACAGATGTTCTTCTCATTTGTGTGACTGGAGACATTCCGGTCAGGGGAAAACACATCCTACATCCAGTGAGTCAGCATTATGTTAAACTGAATCGGCTACAGTGATCTCTTAACCTTATGTTGTTATGGGGATAGAAACATGGCTGGATGTTAGATTAACGGCACATACTCAGAACAATGCTGGAGAGCCACTGTAAAGAACCGTCTGAACGGAACGGTTTGCTCACAATTTCACGTCACTTTTTACCGCTTATCCAAATCAGGGTCATGGTGGCACCGGAGCCTATCCCAGGAAGCACTGGGCGCAAAGCAGGATACACCCTGGACGGGACACCAGGTGCATAAAGAAATATGTCAAAGAACTGAAATAAAAGGTCTCAAAGCTCAAGTTCAAATCCAACTTCACACGTTTCTGTGTTGCAAAGTTAAAAGGAAACAAAAAAAAAAACTGTCCACAAAATGTAAATTTGGGCTCCACACAGGGACACTGATAGTTTTACTCAATCTATTATTAGAGGTTTAATAGGTGAAACAGAGCATTATTTGACCCTCTTAAAACAACCTTTCTAAATGCCCATGTAGAAAGAAATACTCGACAAAGATTCCATGAACAAAAGAAGAAACGCTTGGGCTACAGGCTGGATCTGAATTGATGGCCTTGGTCTTCTGATCACATCATGAAGAAAAGTGAAGCTGCTTTAAGGTGAGGCATTTCACCTCGATGCCAAAACATGTGGTGGATTCCATCATTCTCTACACACATTTTCCAGTTTCAGTTGCTGAAATAAAGTTTAAATAATCTGATACAACTACAAACTGTAAGGCTTCTGAGTTACTAGATGTATGCAAATACCTCCACTAGAGTCCAAAATACCTCTACACCAATTTTTATTGTAGTATAATAGTAATAATATAATTATTATAACCTCTTTCCTAATCATCCCAACATACCAGTGGATTGGATGATAAAGAAAGATGCACAGTCTTAATCTAGGGGATGACTGGGTCACTATAGGTACTAGTGTCAGGGGTGGGATCTTTTTCTAGATGATGACTAGGGTCTAGGGTCAGTATTGGTCCTGGTGTCAGGGGTGGGATCTTTGTCTAGATGATGACTAGGGTCTAGGGTCAGTACTGGTGCTGGTGTCAGGGGTGGGATCTTTGTCTAGATGATGACTGGGTCAGTATTGTGCTGGTGTCAGTGGTGGCGTCTTGGTCTATATGATAACCAGGTCAGTACTGGTGCTGGTGTCAGTGGTGGCATCTTGGTCTATATAATAACCGAGTCAGTACTGGTGCTGGTGTCAGTGGTGGCATCTTGGTGTAGATGATGACCGGGTCAGTACTGGTGCTGGTGTCAAGGGTGGGGTCTTGGTCTAGATGATAACTTGGTCAGTACTGACGCTGGTGTCAGGGGAGAGGTGTTTATAAGGGGGATGACTGGGAGGTTTATAAGGGGAGATCTAGCAGCAGCTCACCATGACTTTTAAGTTCAAATTTAATCAGAGTCATTCATATCGTAATCCGTCTCTTCATCCTCACTCTGAAGAACATGCAGCATGCAGGGAGCAAAGAAGAAAGAAAGAAAGTGAAGGCTGAAAAAAGCTAGTGAAGTGGTGATGCAGTTCTTCCTCAAACTGCAATAAGATGGTCTGGGCAGACCTGCGATAAACAGCAAGAGGCCTTACGTTAATCAGTCAAATTGCGCATTCACACCCATTAACTAGGTGCACTTGTCTTTATATCTATACTGTACATGTTGGCAGAGCAGATGTCCTATTCAGACAGATTTGACGTTAGTCTGTAGAGTGGTTTTAATTTAAATAAACCTATGACTTTTGTTACAGAGTTGTAATTGCCAGTTTTGGTTTACTCTGTAGCTAGTTACCATGGTCACAGGATCCCTCTTCTGGGTCACGGGTCCCAGATTGAAACTAGTGTCCTGGGGCTCAGCCTCTTACTGGTTGAGTCAATACTCATAACTCATAAACCTGTAGGTTTCAGTTTGGACTATGGCTTACTCAATTTAACCAACCAATCTAACCAGTATGATCTTTAAATTTATGATTTGCAAGACAAAGGTGGAACAAAAATGTCAATATTAAATCTGCTGTCAAATTATGAAGAACAAGTGTTGCTTGTAGTGCAATAATTCCATGTAATGTAAAATATGACCTGCTCTCTAAATACTAGGCTCTTTGAAAAGAATCCTCCAGCTGCACAGGTCTCACAAACATCCTGTCTTCATAAGGGTTATGTTTCTGATTACATGGTGTTTCAAATCAAGGGAGATGTAGAAGGCTCTATAGAAATGGAAAGGAATTTCAAGTGATGAAGAAAGACAGTTCTGTTCAGCAGAGAGATCAAATCCCCCTTTCCTCCTGTCCTGCGCCTTTAGTAAATCGACATAAGCAGCCCCTCTCCACTGCTTTCATAAACACTCCTTCTTTTTGCTCATCTGTACGAAATGAGAAATGAGGCTCTGGATTGTGCCGAAAGCTAAAGCGCAGAACCTCTTTGGCCCGTGTTCACACACATTTCACTTCTCCCCGCCGGAGCAAGACACCAAGACTCACCTTGAACAGCCCCGACATCGGAGATGGGGGAGTCCACACTTGGGAGAGGAAATAAGGGAGTCAAACCTACAAGAAAACTCTCTCACCGTGGAGAGGATAAAGGTACTCCCTTTTTTAGCTGATGCATTTCAGGACACAACCCAGACCATCTTATACAAACATTTTGTCCTGAATCTGTGCAGCCAATGGGAGTAAAAGCAAAAAAAATTAAAAAGTCCACTCTTCTCTCTAGGTAAGCGGGAGATGGGAGCCACATCGGAGGTACTGCCGGTTAATATGAAGATGTCTCATTGCCCTGTTCTGTAGCCTAAGCTTTCAGGGTAACACCAGGAGTGGGACAGAGGAAAACTCACCTTGGCTTTTTCACTGGGTTCACTGCTTGTGCCGTAAGATTGGTTGTGCAGCTCCTTGGAGACGACACACAAGAACTCAGCCTGGTCTTCGTTTCCGTAGTTATAGGACGAACCAATACTGACCAACTGGACAGGAGAGCAAACAAAAAAAAAAAAGATGGGGGGAAGTTAGCTATCAAAACACCTGGAACTTTTAAGATCAAAAGAGACTTTGTAACAAAAAATGGAGGTATTAACCTGGCAACAGCTAGAGTAAAAATATTGATCACAACGTATAAAAAAACTCCATTTACACCTTTGCAACTCGACAAATTAAAAATCTATTTTAGCGAGAAGTTTGACAGAAGTACAGAGATGAAATACGATCAAAGCTCTTGTGAACTGAACCTGGAGAAGCAGCTATTACTGTGCAGCTGCTGTCTCCAAAGTAAAAACAGAAGAACAAGATAATTGCAGTCAACTTGCAGGATACTACAGCAGAAAAAAAAAAAAGTTTTGAAACCTTAAGCACAGGGTTTTTATTACCTACACAAAAGCTTTGCTCCCTCTAATTGAACTGCATTGGGCTGGCGACTGCAGCAGAAAGTAGTGTCTTATAATTCCGTGGTACAAGCCCAGGCTTGCCTTGCATCAATAATGAAAATGACAGAGGCTGCTAACCACCCAGGGCTTTCTAATTGGGAGCTTGTATTGTACTATGCACATTTTTCCTGGAACAGGTTTGCAGTCCACAGCGCTGCTGTGAACAAAAGGACTCCAGGACAGCCAATAGGAGAAGCCTATTTGCCTGTCAAATTCACTGAGGAACTATAAACACACAAATTGTCCAATGAATTACTTCCCGGTCAGCAATGAGGAAACAGTGGGTATTTAGGGAAGAAGTGGAACCTTTTTTTGCTGTAAAGAATTCAGGGTGCACAGAAAGTTCTGTGAAGGTGTAGTTTTAAGGTCAGTTCCCTGGAAATGGGAATCTGCCTTCAAGCCTTTTCCTTCAACTTTTCAAGGGAAAATCAACATTCACAGGTCGGCTTTCCATCTTCTCAAGACAGCCTCAGCCCCGCAGTACAGCTGTGCCTCTCTGGGCAGTGAAAACCAACACACTCACAAATCCACAACAGTCTCCAGCACCCTACTGTAATCCCCCCCAAGGCAGTTAAGTCATTGATAAGCTATTTAAGTTTCAGATAATGCTCAAGCACAAATCTGTACCATGCCAGGTTAACAAATGTGCATGACAATGATGTTTTCGGATGGTATTTTCTTGAAGGAGGTAGGATTGAGGCTGAGTGAAGCGATCATCAGTTCCAACAGGTGCGAGAATCTCTTCCCATCTCTGCAGCAAAGGGAACGAGGAGTGAGGCAGCTCCGGCCGGAGGAAAAGCAGCAGTTTTCATAACGCCTGCGAGTTCAAGCTTGGCTTCTCGAGTCTAGGCAGTTTCAAACATTTCACTGTAAAACTGATATTCTCACCCAGATGCACAAATGGATTAACAACTAAAAGGCAATACAAATCGACTGATCAGTTTTAACTTCCCTTAAAATCAACAGACGTCATGTTAATAAATTACACAATGCATAAGACATCCATGGTAATGCTGTTCAGTTTTGGTCACCACACTACAAGAGGAACACTGCCGCTTTCTAGGCAGTACGAGGGAGCAACCAGACTAATTCCTGATCTTGAAGGGAATGTCATCCTCAAAACAGAATAAGGAAACCGAGTCTTTTCAGCCTGGTGCAAAGACACCTGTGAGGTTTTCATTCTGGTAACGCAAATTCCATGAAGTACAGACTCAGTCAACTCAGAGGACCTCAAGCGCGATGACAAGGACCTGGACACACAAGTGGAAAGGTTATGAATCTTTTGCACATCTCATGTTATTATTAATTCATTCTTTGCATCTCAGTTCACATGAAGCCCTGGTACTGCACAGGGAGACTCAAGAAGCACACCACTCCCTCCCATCGAGCCTCCATGTCTCGACACACTACAGCTCCACACTGATCTGCAGGAGGCTCACTGCAAGCTGCCTGAGAAGTCACAGGAGTGAGTGTTTCACCAATAGCCTAGTGAGTCCTGGCTGACTAGGCCCAGCCCTACCCCTGGTGGCACTGGGCAATACTGTGCCACTGCACAGTGTCCTGGTCACAGTGGGCTAGTGATGTGGCTCAGGCTTGAACCAGTGATGTCTGGGCCCTAGGGCTCACCCTGTGCTTGGAGCAAAGGGCCTTTAGATGATTCCACCACTTGAGGACCTTGCAAATGGAAGTCAAGGAGCATTTGGGAGAGAACCCTTTATGTCGAGAGCTGTGGGGGTCTAGGGCAGGGGAGTTTGTATATGTTGCTATGGAATTCTTAAAGAAACAGCTTGATGGAATCACTGGGTTGTTTTTCTACCAGCAGCTAAAAGGAGCAAGATGGGCAAATCAAAGAACATCCACACAAAGGCTGAAAATGTTACACTCACCCTAAGGGAACTGCTTAAATTCTCCCTGCTGCTACAAGGTCAATATATCGCTTTATACAGTATATATCCACATACTGCTTGATATATTGCAATATACAGCTTTGTCAAGCAAATTCCACACAGCTATGCAATGTCACAGTTTGCAGTTATTTACAATGCCAGGATATGCCATTGTGCAGACCTTCTCCTTACATTAGTCACAGTAAGTTGCTTAGGCTAAAGCTACTGTATTAGTCAAAATGAGAACCAAGAACTCAATAGTGCAATTTTATCATGAGGCCCAAACTACACAAAGCAGGGACTGTCGATTGCTGTGTGGCTCAGAGATGGAGCACAGCAGGAGGCTGTGGCCGTGACCAGGATGGCACAGATTAACTGTATCAGCAAGGTAAGCGCATCAGAGCGCTCACACTTAGATAATGGAGGATCCTGCCCAACGTGAGATTTCTGGAAACTGGTAAGCGGCTTACAGAAGTGTCACATGGAGAGGTCCTGAGCAGGCTGAGCTGCGGTTGTAAAAATATAGCACCACTTTTCTTTAAATTAACCATTTTCAGGTTCAGAAAGAAAAAATGCAGAAAGAATTCAAATACTCCAGGTGTAATACCGATGCACAGAATCTGCACTTAAAAGTATTAGGCTGCTTTTCCCAAAACCAATTAACAAATTAACAGGTCAGCACAGAGGGGAGAGGAATCCAGTCAAGCTGTGTGTCCAAGTGTAATTCATGAGAACAACAACAAAAACAACAACAATCGATGCCTAATGTACTTACAGGACAACTTACAAAGCCTACTGTTGTGGTAAAAAAAAATCATAAGGAGGCTTTTCAAAATTGTAAAACTACACATAATAAACACAAAATGGTTTCCACATTTGTGCTGAACATGACTGGTGTCTTCATACTCAGTTGCTTTCAACAAGTCAGTCAGAAACCGCACTCTTTCACATCTTGCACATCTTTCCCAGCTGTGCTGCGCAGCGCTGATGAGTGTGACTGTTGGAAATAGAGCAGTGTGAACGTATGCTAACCAGAGCTGACTCTCAATTTCTCAACTGGTCTAGAACATTCTTGGGAAAAAGTGTTTTAACCTGGCAAGACTTTCCTAGTATCATTAAAATATCAAATCCTTGTAAATGGTGCCCAGTCAGAGTAAGCTGTCCAGCAGCCATATCACTCTGCAACTCTCAACTGGCAACCCACTGAAGCTAAGCAGGTGTGAGCATGGAGACCTCCTGGGAAAAACTAAGGTTGCTGCTGGAAGAGGTGTTAGTGGGGCCAGCAGGGGGCGCTCACCCTGCGGTCCACGTGGGTCCTAACGCCCCAGTATAGTGACAGGGACACTATACTGTAAACAGGCGCCGTCCTGGCGTGTAACCCTGGCGTCCTGGCCAAATTGCCCATTGGCCCTTACCAATCATGGCCTCCTAATAATCCCCATCTATGAATTGGCTTCATTACTCTGCTCTCCTCCCCACTGAGAGCTGGTGTGTGGGGAGCGTTCTGGCGCGCTATGGCTGCCGTCGCATCATCCAGGTGGATGCTGCACATTGGTGGTGGTGGAAGGGAGTCCTCATTACCTGTAAAGCGCTTTGAGTGGAGTGTCCAGAAAAGCACTATAGATGTAAGCAATTATTATTATTAAGCCATTATCCCCTTAATGTTCAGAGTTTTGCAATGTCTTGGTGAAGGGAAATAGCATCCATGTTTGATATGTACTAAACAGTCTCTAGCATTTGATGTGCTCTTGAAAGCATTAAGCTAAAACTAGAAAACAAAGAATGTAACAAAGGCTCATTAAAATCTCTTCTCAAGATGTCTAAAGATGAGAAAATGAGTATGTTTTTTGGGGAGCAGGTCTCACGTAGTTTCAACTTCCTTATTCACTCCATTTCAGATAATGCAGGCTACAGAAGAAAAAGCACCTGAAGAAAGTTTGAGTAGAACTGTGCACAATAAAGTTATTTCAAATACAGTTAGGAAACAAGATTTAAGACCAGAGGTAAACAAGTGACTGTTTAAAAAAAAAGAAACTGTGACTAAAATTATATTTCTCTGATGCCTGCCAGTGTCGTGCACTGGAGAAAGGGGAGAAAGGCTGGGCTTGACCCTTTAGCCCTTAAGGAGATTTAATTAAACGCCAAGAGAAACCCGACAGACTGAGATGAGGTGGAAGAATCTGGCTCAGCTCAGAGGAGGATGGAAAATGCAGTAGCCTTGGAGATAGACTTGGCGGCGGTTCTATTTCTGGATGATGATTTGGTGTTTATTTTGCAGGAGGTTAAAAAATCTGTGGTTGAGGAAGAAACAAGAGACCAACTAACTAAGGATTTCAACCAGTGAATGTGTGGAAGAAAAAGATTCTTAACAATGTTGATGCAGGAGTTCTTTAGCAATTTAGTATATTTTGTTTATTAATGCATCAAAACAGGCACCACCATCTGCTTACTTTTAGGATGAGTTTCAGGGCTCACAGTGGTGACTTCACTCTCTTGCTCTTTAAAACAAGCGTTGAACAGGAGTCTGGTGATCTCCTAAACCTAGTGGTTCTTTATTTCTGTTCTCCGATACCTGCTGCTCATCATATTAGTTGAGCTTTGCCGGCTAACTACCCAAACAGTACCTACAGGAGAAGTTGTAGATTTAAAGTTAAGGCCCAGTTACAAAAATGCTTCAATTTTAAGAGTTAAAAACAGTTCGTGATCAACACAATGAATAGTTCCATTACGGGCTGCTTCACATCACTGAGAGCTCAGCTAGACTAGACTGCAGGTATGCAGGAGCCGAGTCTGGCACAGGAGACCATCACCTTAGCCTACAGAACTTCATTAGGTCTCTATCGCCTCTGTGGTACAAACATCCCCTTTCTCCTCAATTTCCTACTGTACGCAACCTGCTAAAATCACTGTATTCACCCAAACCATTCAAGTCACTAGCAACTTAAAACTGAAACAAAATATCAAAAACAAATGTTACATCTCTTCATGAAACTGTTTTTGTCCTTCACTTCTCTCCAACCACAGAAAAACAATGCCAGTGCCCAAAACTAGTCAGCCTCCATTTCCACACCTGAGCCAGACCGACTCATGTCTTCAAATGAGCTGTCCCTGAAGAGGCGTCTGAGACACACATCAGGGAAATGGCGTGGAGGAAAAAGTATCATTTACTCAAATACTTAAAAGCTACCCTCTCAAAACAAAAACACAGAGTTGAAGACAATTAGAGCTAAAGACCAACACATTCTCCCTTTGCCACAGATGACAGCATCTATTTTGGTTACACACAATAACAAGAACAGAAACCCTTCACCTTTTACTCAAAGTGCCCATCAAGGCTTGCCTGCTGCCGCCTCTCTCTTCAGGGAGGGGCTCACAGATTACCTCATCCATTATCTCATGACATGCATGACATCCAGTGCCCAGCCAGCTCTGTCACTACTCAGCTCAAGCAGTGCTGAGGGACCGATAGCACTACACTTCGGCAAAAGGCAACTATCAAATGCAAATATCAGCAAATAAAAAACTGTATTGCTGCAATGTTTTCGAGGAACTGCATGGCCTGACCGACTGTGGTCACCTGTGTAGTTTCTTGTTTTGAAGCAAGTATCTAGTATCTTAATAAAGTAGCTTACAGTACAAAAAAGATCTGATAGCCCAGTTTTAGCTACTAGGGGGTGAAAATCATTATCCACATCCCTGAGTTGCTTTAATACAACATCACATGGAGAAGAAGCTTCCTTTTCAGCTCACGTTTTTCTTAATGATGAATAAAAGTGGACTCCTTCTATGTTTGCTTCAGATATAGCCTTCTGTATTAGTGTTTTACATTTTTTGTGTTGCATGAAAAAGCCACAAAATTCAATTAAATAATACTTTAGCAGCACAAAGGTGCACCTCAACATTAATCCAAGCCAGATAACAACATCCTAGTCCCCAGCCTGGTTTTACAGTTACCGTCTGATCACTGAGCAGCAGTGCGTTTGGAGTAGATCATGGTGAAAATGAATAAAAATAAAACATAGCTACCATCGCTCTTCTGATTCACCAATTAGGACAACAGCCAGATGCACTGATTAGACCAACAGCAAGTGCCGGTGAAGTACAGATGTGTAAGACACAAAGAAATCAATTTGCAGAGGTTGCACTGATAAAGGAGATATTCATACTCATTAGAAACAAAACTATAAACCACAAATGAGGGATGGGTGTCAAAAGGGAGCTGAGAAGGCAGTAGTAGGGCACTCCACTTTTGTTCCACTTGATACACAAGAACCCTGGGTTTGACTGATGACAGTGAGAGTTGCCAGTCACACATCTTTGACCTGTTCTCTCAAACCCAGGCTCTGCTAGCGAAAACATCCTTACATCCTTCTCAACTTCACAAGGCCAAGTGTAAAAGTAACTCCAATCCCGATGGGTCCAAGTACCTCAGCACCACTTGCTGATTAGCAGAGTAGAAAATGGGAAATCAGGCCTATCCATCCATGCAATTTCTAACTGCTTCATCCAATTGAGGGTCACTGAGGAGCCGGAGCCTATCCCAGCAAGCAGCAGGCACAAGGTGGGGTACACATTCGACAGGATTCCAGTCTGTCACAGGTCAGACAGACAAGTACTCACACCAGGGCCAATTTACCCAGAAGCCAATGAACCTACCAATATGTATTTGGACTGTGGAAGGAAACAGAAGCACCCAGAGGAAACCCACAAGAACACAAGAAGAACATGTAGACGTCACTGCAAATAACAGTACGAGAACAGATCTGAACCCAGGGCCCAAAGGTGCAGTGCAACAACGCTAACAACTGTGCCACTGTGCCACCCAAAAAACGGTCCCAAATTCCAAAAAAGACAGTTTTGCGGCTGCAGCTCCCATATAGAAAAGCTTTCTTTCCAATCACGTTGTCAATTCTGGAAAAATATGCTTTATCATCAAGAGCCCGGCACTGGGAGAGCAAAGGCACCTCAGTTAAAAGGCAACTTGTCTTGATTTCAGCAGTTTAACTGTGGGGTTTGAGACCTCGGGCACAACGGAAACCACAGACAGAAAACAGGAGAGCCCTCGTGGTTTACAGCTCCCGGTCCGGGCAGAGAGCGAGCAAGCGCAGCCTCTCAGTCACGGAGGCAGGGGGAGGTGGGGAGGCCATGCAGTGACACGGGGCACAAGGGGAGCGAGCACACACACCTCGCCACTGCCGCCAGGGACGCCGGTCTCCTCTCCCTTCACCTCCCTCGACACAATCAGCAGAAACTCTGACTGGGGGTCCCGCCCGTAGCCATACGGGGAACCTATGCTGACAAGCTGGAACAACCAATCAAAGCACAAAGGGTTTTCATTCTGCAGGGTATAAACAAGCAGTCAACCCCCCCCCCCCCCCCCCCCCCCGCAAGCCCCTCCCCCCCGCCTGAGTCAAGTTGCACAGACAATCGAAAAGTAAACAGGACTGTTTTTATTGGGGGGGGGAGGGGTGTGTGATTAAAAAATCATTTTGCCTGTCAAATATATGTTTGGCTAAAATGCACATCCTATAGATTACAAAAAAGATTAGGCATGATAGAGTTTGAAAGAGCGAGCCAATTGAAAAGGCATGTTAGTCCCCAAAAGGGAAGACAGAAAAAGAAATTGCATTTTTAAAAAAAAGGCAATGTGGGGATGACACAAGCTGCACTGCACAAGACGGGAGAGAGATGGGGGGGTAGGGGGTGGAAGGCGGGGAGAAAGCAGGACACAGCATTAGCAAAAAAAAAAGATCTCGGCTTTGCAGTTTTATCTCTTACACTATAAAAGGACAAGATTTGTCCTAACATTCACCCTGCAACTCACAACTGGCAGCCCAGTGAAGTTAAGCAGGTGTGAGCCTGGTCAGTACCTGGATGGGGGACCTCCTGGGGAAAACTAAGGTTGCTGCTGGATGAGGTGTTAGTGGGGCCAGTAGAGGGGGGGGAGGTGGGGGTGACCTTCCGGTCTGTGTGGGTCCTAATGCCCCAGTATAAGGACACTGTACTGTAAAAAAGGAGCGTCCTTTCGGATGAGATGTAAAACCAAGGTCCTGACTCTCTTTGGTCATTAAAAATCCCAGGGCGTTTCTCGAAAAGAGTAGGGGTGTAACCCCAGCGTCCTGGCCAAATTTCCCCTTGGCCCTTACCAATCATGGCCTCCTAACAATCCCCATCTATACACTGGCTTCATCGCTCTGTCATCCTCCCCAATGATAGCTGGTGTGTGGGGAGTGTCCTGGTGCCCTATGACTGCTGTCACATCATCCAGGTGGGGGTGCACACTGGTGGTGGTGGAGGAGAGTCCCCATTACCTGTAAGAGCTTTGAGTGGAGTGTCCAGAAAAGCGCTATATAAGTGTAAGCAATTATTATAATTATTACGTTTTCATTTGCCTTTTATAAAACGTTTGTGTCCCATGTTATTCTACCAACCAAGAAAAAAAAACCTAGGTGAGACCAACAGGTGAGATAAGCCCAAGCAGAAGAGAACATTACAAATGATGATGTGAGCTAGTCTTTAACCACAGCAGGAGAAAACAACAAGGACTGTGACCAGGATCAGGAGGTCTGTGTCCCAGCTCCACAGGAGACTAGGATGTGTTCATTAATGTGCTGACGAGAGCACTCTGATCAGACAGGCTCCAGACGCAAAGTGTTGTTTTAGGGCACGATAACCACACATTCTGCAAGCAGTGTAAACAGGGGATTTCTCAAGTAAACAGAACAGTGTCTGCCTTGTACACTACTACATTTACCAAAAAAAGCTTCTCTCAGATGACTCCACTCCATTCACAGTTAACATGAGTCAGTTTTTCAAATTCTACTAAAAGAAGAATTCCAATAGCTTGGCATCTTTAATATTTTTATTAATATTTTTAAATGGCCGATAACCTAAAATGTACAGCAACTTCCAGCACATTGCAGGGTGTCCTCTTTAGAGATTGAGAACTCTTGGATGGCCCAACATTTTGATTTGAACCAAATCTGTATAGACTGAAATGAAGCTTAACTGATATGAAATATACTTTCTGCCGCATCATTAGGGGTTGTGCAGCTGGCCGAACCAGAAATGATTTAAAGAAACACACATTCTTGAGAAGTACGACTCACAAGAGAAGCTAGTTTTGAACAAGCGTTTTCAGTCAATTTGTTTATGGTATGGTCAATCGCAGATGAAAAAGCTCCATTTAAAAACCTCTCTTTAGAAGAAAGATGGGCCTACAAAACAGCCTGCAGGAAAAGCTAAAAAGGAAGCAAGGAAATGTGCAAAATAACAGAAGAGAGGATTCTGCTGAAGTATTGCACACAGGAATGGTTGATTTACAATCTCATCTAGAAACTTCCAGGTTTAAGCAGAAAATGCATTTTCTCTTGCTCTATATGTACATACAGAACTGCTAATAAATTGGAATCAAGACTGGTTTCTTTCACCTGAAACAAGTGCTGAGGTAAAGACCCATCTCAACCGGACTGTGAAAAACTGGGAGCATTCACTGGGGTATTGGGGAAGAGGAGCTGCCCTCTCACATTCACAGCACCAGCTTTAGATCAGATTATGATCCGATCTAAAGCACCTTTTCTGCAGGTACAGTACAATGCTGGTGAAGCATTTCTCATTTAGCAACCAAGCCAAAACAGTCAGAACCGGCCAGATTGTTTTAAATTAAAAAAAAAAATCTGATTACAAAGGCCAGCTGCGCAGCTGCTGATGTTGTTGCCCAAAATAGCAGAAGCAGCCCTTCATCTCTTCCCACTTCTGTGCCGCAAGCTGCTGAGATAAGATTCCTTTCCTTTGCAAACTTTTACACTGTCTGCAGAACACAGCCAGCCTTCATCACTGGCAAGCTGACAAGTCACAAAAACAATAAACAAATACACCATAATTAAAAGAAGAGCAGGGGACTTGAATGGAATGGAGGAAAGCAGTATTTCCCAACATTTTCAAAACCCAATACCGGAGGAACAAAGTAGTAAGTAGTTAGGTCAACCTTACTTATTATTATAGTGGCTATAATTTTCAAAAAGGTCTTCCCGACCTTATAATGACATGTTTGTTTAGCACTGCTACCTGCTCAAACTTCCAGCCGTCAGACATCGTAGAAACCATCTGTGTGAGCTCTTCTTCCTGGCACTGCAGAACTCTGTAGACATGTTTCACAGGCACCTAGGAGAGGAGGAGACACATGACTTTACTGCTATAGCGATCACTGCTTACAGCCACATCTACCCAGTTTGTGCGTCTCATAAAAACTGAAATACGTTTGTAGTGCTTTTCACACCAGAGGAAAATTGAATAAAATCTGGAAAGTGAATGCAAATACAATTTAATTTTCCACCGAGACACCAGAGTAAAAATTAATTCAATAAGAAAAGGCAATGCTATGCGAATAAGGTTTCATGCAGGATTGGAAAATTCCAATGGATGTCGAACCTCCGAGAACGGATTTTGGATTGAAGCAACACGTCCAATGTCTTTCAAGGTCTACAGTCACAGATCAAGCCAGACATAGCTGGGCAGAGACCAAAATCAATGAAAGTTAACAAACCGACTCCTGGAGGGCATAGAATGAATAAACTGTGCTTATTTTGGGGTAAAAAAAATCTATATCGTTAAGGACACTTTACTCTAAAATTCCCCTGGATCATGCAACATGATACCCTTGAAAAACATACCTCCCTCCATCGGGTTCTTGAAACAGAAAATGCAGAGAGGAATTGGTTTGCTACATTTTGGCCCTGCTGGGAAAAGTCGCAGCTGGGTTTTTTTAACAAAACATAAAATAGCCTTGGGAAATCCCTCCGGGTTTCACCAAGGCTGTTGCCGAGGTCGTCCAGGGATTAGGATTAAAAAAAGTCCCTGGGGAATCCCCACACAGTCTTTGCTTTGGTGCGTTCCCGCTCTCGGGGAGCACAGCAGCCGAAAGCTCCTGATGCGAGGCGCAGGACTCGGGAGCACGTGTTCCCCAGCGTGACCTCCACCTCTCTTTCCCTCTGCTCATGCTACCTGGCCTCATCGCTCCCCTGCAGAACTGTCCTCCCTCTCTCTCATCACCTTCTCCATTCTGCCCTGCTTTCTGTCTTCGACACCATGGCCACGATCCATGCAAAGCTCTTAGCAGCAAGCTGCCACACCAACAGAAGCGCAAGCTGTCGCCTGATTAAGAATTATGCAAACACCCAGTTTGGAAAAAAAAATATTTTGTCCTAACTGCTCTGCAGAGACCATCTAATGTTGCTTTTATTGCCAACAAGAATATCCCCTGCACAAATTAGAAGGGTTTTTACTGCTATCTTTCCTACAGGCTCCAGGGCCGCCAACCTCTTCTCCCAGAAGGCTTTGGGACGGAACTAGAGTGCAAGTCATACTGCTGGTCCAGGTCCAGAAATTTGAAACATGCTCTGAAGATGCAGATAACTACTGTACCTTGCATTCGCCGTCCCCTGCTGGTCCGTAAAAATGATCAATGGAGGGTTCCACTACAATTACAGGCAGCTGGTCTGTTAATTGTCAGGAGTTTTAGTACAGCTTTTCCAACTTCAAAATGTATGCCACCCGTGTCTGCTCATTTTTAACAGCAATGAGTGAAGGGGGAGGGTGTAGTTTTAGTAACCGGCACTTAGATTTGGCCAGGATTTAATCTATAGAGCTATTTAAAGTGTAAGCTGCTTTCTTGGGCCGTCTCTTCTCTTTTCAACGCAGCATGTTCTGGAGTAATCAAAAGCCGGGAGCCAGGAGGATCAGTTCCCTCAGTGCCCTGGGATAGCACAGGGCTAGTGTCACTGCAGGATGAATTCTGACGGGAGGAATGGATTAGTTCTCTTCAGGTTCAGGAGCTTTGGGAAAAGCATGGAATAAGGTGGCGGGTGAGCAACTTGAAATGCCGATTTTGGCCTTTCTCGTCTGCTTCTGAGGGAACAGACTGTCCTTCGTATCAGACCACACCATAAAGTCTGGGAGCTGCTGCAAGGCTGCTTGTTATTCTGCAACTCCAATCAAACTCAAGGAGTTTGACCTCTACTTGAACCTTCCTTTAACACCCTATACACTACCAGCTAGTGCAAAGCAATAACACAACTGCACAGAATGGTTATACATAACCGCCTTGCCTAGTAAACCATCCGCACCCAGACTTGTGCAACACTCATGTCCTACCACACATGTTCCACTTGGAGCACAGGCTTCAAAACTGCTTATTTTAATATGCTAGCCTCTGTTTACACATGAAAGCTTTTGGTAGAAAGTTTTCCTCTACAGGTTGTTTGGCTCGTATCATAAGATGGGTCTGGGCAGACCTCTCTTACACTCTTCTGGTATCCTGCAGTGTGTCAGAGTAACTCCTTGGTTCCACACCAACAACCCTGACAGCTGGCAACTGGGAAGATATGTTAGCTCAGGGGCCTTCCCACGACTCACAGTGAGATAGAACAGTCAATAGAACACAGTGAGATTATGCCAAACACAACGAAAGTCCCCCTTTCTGTGGGCTCACCTGTGATGTCCTGCAGTCTCTCTCCCTGATCTTGTCCTTCGTGAGCTTTATCAGCGATGTGATATTATAGAACTCGGCCTCCTCCAACACACCTATCAAACACACATGCACACCAAAATCAGACACCTTGTCTGGAACTTCAAACACCTGCAGTGTGGGAAAACAATTCTTGATTCATGGCAGTGGACAATATAAAGTATAGGGAATATTTATAATTTATAGAAAACATAAAAGAACACTTTGCCTTGCACAGGATGCCAGGTCATTCATGTTAATGAATCTTAGTTCCCTAATGCTCCATCACACATACTGGAAAAAGAAGAGCACCAAAATCTGAAGAATCTGCTGTGAAAATTTCACCTGCTGAACTGTCAGGACAATAAAACAGGTAGAAATAAATGAAATCCCTCCCCCCCACAAAAAAAATAATAAAGTTTTGATGTAAGGTTTTGTTTTATTAAAATATTTGCCAAAAGTATTTACATTGTAACTAAAATAGAGCTAACATACCAACTTCCTTTTTTTTTTTTTTTT